TTAAACGGGGACGAGGTATCGCTGGCAGAAGAGTCCGACAGCCTCTTCTGCAGGCCTACCACCCTGCTGATGAACGAACTGCAAGCCATCGCGCCCTGGATGTCCTCTGGGGCCCGCGTGGCAGCGCGGCAGAACAAGAACGAATATAAGATTGCCAGCCCTATCACGTGCACGTGCATGGCGTTGCCCCCCTGCTCAGTCATCGCGTGCCGGGAACGACCCATGTTGACATCCCAGCTCGTCCTCTCCCCGAAGATCTTCGCGCACTCGAGCGTGGGGTACCCCTGCAGCATCAGGAGCTCTCGCGGCGTGAAGGCGCGATGGTGTTTACCAGGCCATAGCATGAAACGCTTCCTAGTGATGGTCCCCATAAAGATGTGAGAGTTCGAATGCACTGGCATCTTGAACGGGTCGTTGTTCAAACTATAGCAAAAGCAAGGGAAGTTCTTGCGGTATTCGTCAAGCCATCCTTTTTCCGTGTCGGTCAAGCAATCCTCCAACGAGTGCGTGGTGGGGTCGACCGTCAACCCATTCATCCTGCTGGAAGGTCTCTGAGCCGCCCACACTATCTCGTCGACAACGTCTGGGGAGTCTCGGGGCAACACCATGAAGTGTGCAAACGTAATGTGACACAGCCGAAATACTTTCTCGATGAGGGACCTGCTCCATTTGACGAGGGGCACGCCAACCTCGCAGAGAAAACGCAATGAGGTTGCGATCGCAGAAGGGGGCAAGGCTTTGGGGCCCGAGGAAAGACGGGTGCAACACAACCTGGGCAGCACGGCCAACTTGGGCCTGACATCAAAAGAGCTGGAAACGTCCCACGGCTGTTTCTGAATTTACAAGGCGTTGTTTCGAACGTTCCGAACGTCCCCCTGGAACCTAAGGAGTACCAAAGGTGTTAGAGTTGTTTGTCCCCCCCAGAACCTTAGACGTATGAATCAAGATTGAGATCCTCCGCGGCCTGCGAACTGGCCAGCCCAGCTCGTCGGGGCCAACGATGATGGATTCGACCTTGTACATTGGTAGGATGGTAGAGAACACTTCAGCTGGAAAAGTTCCCACATTCTCATGTATGATAATGGGTTCCTGAAGCCGCCGGCGCTGTCCTGCCCACGACAGAAATGATAGGCAAGATTTGCCTGAGACGCCCCCTCGCTTAGCACCTGGCATTTCTGAATGATCTATGCAAGGGGTACCTGCGATGTGTGCGAAACAACATGGCGTGACACACGTCTGCCCTGGATGGTTGACGCACTCAGCTGAAACCATGATTGCGTTCTCCTGGTCACAGACAACACTAGCCAAGTCGTCCCACGTCATCAAACGCTCGGCAATCGACGCAACGAGGGCCTCGCGGATAGCGGGATTCAGAAACGCATTCATGTCTTTGAATATGCAACGTGGTGGATGTGGCAACGATTGCAATTCCTTCCGGGATGACTCTAAACATTCAATTGCATACTCGCACGTCATCGAAGGAAACGTTCCATTAGGAAATTCAGATTGCAGGTGCGCCCGAATGATCTCACACGCAGTCTCTGGAGTTCCGATGCCGCTAAAAGCTGTACTGATAGATTCAGATGAAAAGGCGTTGGATACTGCGCCCACATTGCAACCAGGAAATACTGACCACTTTTGCAAAACATATTTGACCCAATTGAAAGCGTCCGCCAAACTGTTCACTTCTGCAATCTTCTTCGACTTCTTCTCAGGTGTAACCATCAACTCGATCGTGCACGGATCACTGAGCGAAGCGACTCACAATATCATACTCTTGAGCCAGCATATCCTTACGGAGTATGGTCTCATATATCGTAGGGTGGAGGATTGCGCATGAACCTATGACGTATGGCTGAGAAACCGTCGGCCCTATGGGACAGGACGGAGTAAGACATCTGCCCTACGTCATAGGACCGACCAACCCTCTGGCCCTACGAGATAGGACATGTCAAGGCGCTGGCCCTACGGCGTAGGGCCAATACCCCCATGGACCTAGGAGATGGGGCCGATCAAGGCTATGGTCCTATGTCATAGGGCCAACACCCCCCTGGTCCTAGGAGATAGGACCGATCAATGCGACGGCCCTACGTCATAGGGCAACCACCCTACTGGACCCAGGAGATAGGACCGATCAAGGGCCTGGTCCTACGTCATAGGGCCAGTACCCCCATGGACCTAGGAGATGGGGCCGATCAAGGCGATGGCCCTATGTCATAGGGCCAACACCCTTCTGGGCCTAGGATATAGGACCAACTAGTGATTTGGTCCTACGTCGTAGGGCAGACACCCCCTATGGACCTAGGAGATAGGACCAGCCGCATTTCTGGCCCTACGTCATAGGGCCAACACCCCCCCCTGGACCTATGATATAGGACAGATCACGATCATGGCCCTACGTCATAGGGCCAGCCCCCATGGACCTAGGAGATGGGGCCGCCCACGGGTCTGGCCCTACATCATAGGATCACCACCCACTGGACCTATGAGATAGGATCGGCACAGACCCCGGCCCTACGTCATAGGGGTACCAACCCCTGGACCTAGGAGATGGGGCCTACCACGGCCATGATCATACGTCATGGAGCAAACACCCTCATGGACCTAGGAGATAGGACCGACACAGGCCCCGGCCCTATGTCATAGGGCCATCACGCCCTGGATATAGGGTATAGGACATACCACGGCAATGGTCCTACATTATAGGACCAACATCCCACTGGGCCTAGGATGTAGGACCAACCAATGCTATGGTCCTACGTCATAGGGCCAACACATCCTGGTCCCAGGAGATAGGGCCGATGAAGGCTATGGCCCTACGTCATATGGCCGATCGCATTCCTGGACCTAGGAGATAAGACCAGTACAGTATACGACCCTACGTCACATGGACAACACCCCATCTGGACTTAGGAGATAGGACCGATCAACTGACGTGGCCCTACGTCATAGGGCCAACGCCCCCATAGACCTAAGATATATGACTGACCAAGGATCTGCCCCTACGTTATAGGGCCACCACTCTCTCTGGACCTAGGAGATAGGGCCGATGCATGCTCCGGCCCTACATCGCACGGTCAACGCCCTTCTGGACATAGGAGATATGACTGATAGAGCATCGCCATGAACATATCCCTCCTCGCCCTCATGATCCTCATGCTCTGTCTTCCCAAAACAAATATCGTAAGCAAACGCCGACACTATTCCCTAGCAGCCTAGCCTTTATGTTTGCCCAAACCAATAGAAAGCGGGGTCAACGGAGTGCCCAAGTTTTCGCCATGACGCCTCCCAGAAATAGCCGAGGCAGAAAGTTGGGAACTCCATTGCTCCCACATTTCATTTCATTGGTTTTGTGAAGACCCAAGGCTCGTGGAGAAGACCCATCATCCTCACCATTCCCCTTATATCCTCCCTATCAGCATTCCCATCACCCCCTCCTCCCTCGCCCTCTTCACCCTCGCGAGTGGCGGGGAGAGCGTCGGCACGATGTGCGACCACTGCCTCTGCGCCGAAGCGTCTCTGCCGGCCGGGGGGGGACAGGGCGGTCAACGAGAAGTAGAGGACAGGGCGCAAGTGAAGACTGAATATGGATGGGGTAAAGAATAAGCGTGTGTTGTGTGTTGTTTCTTTTCATCCTCCTCGCCTTCCTCCTGTTGTGTGGTTTGCGTTGCTCCTCCTCCTCCTCCTCCTCCTCCTCATCCTCATCCTCATCCTCATCCACCTCGTCCTCCTCCGCCTCCCCCTCCTCCCCCCCCTCCACCCCTCTTCCTGGCAGCCGGCGGCCGTGGCGGACCTCCCGGGTCCACGTCCTTCGTGCCGCCTCGGGCGACCCCCGTGTTGGAGTTGGCCCGAGGGAACTAGCTCTCGCAACTCTGTACAGTGCGCGGGAAGGCAACGGCCGCCATCGGATCGCCCGCCAGGGGTTGTCGTCGTCGTCCTGACCACTCATCCTCTCTCACACTCATCGTCAGTGCCCAAGTTGCCTTGCTCAGCCTATCAATGGCGGACAAATCCGATCATGCGCAGCCAATTAGAGCAGAGAGGGCAGGCGTTATCCAGCACGACGTCGTACTCTGCCCTCTTCAAAAGATTTCGCACTGCCGCCTGAAGGGGCCCGCTGCCACCGTTCTCAAGAACAGCTGGCCCAGAAGAACCAAAGGAAGCAGAGTTGGCAACGCCCCGCCCACAGTGGTCATGCACGACAATCCCACACAGGGAACACTGGCGCGCATGGTGGTCTGTACACACCACGCATATACACTCATCCTCGCCTGCGAGCTCAGGGCACAAAGCTCGCTGAAATATCCGAAACATCCCAAGCGGGTGCGGGGGGATCTCAGCCCTCTCCTCCTGACGCGAAGTCTTATTCATTTTCTCTCCTATGTCTGGATACACAAACACTGGCTCTTCTGGATAGAAGTACGGGTAGTATTGTTTTGTTGCGTACACAAGCTTGCCCCTCTCAGTGCGGACTCTCTGACCATACAAGACGCTTGTCTGGATCCAGTTCATGAAGTCTATGTGGCACACCGAGCTACCCAGGGCCTCATCTGTCGTTCGATGCAACAACAAGGAAATGTGCGGCTTATTGAGGTCCATTCCGCGGTGCCCGAAGCAATGCTCCAAGTGATTCGGCCAATCCTTGGCTGCCTGCTGAGTCTGATGCGTCCAAGACGGAGGGCGGTTGAGGAAGAGGAGGGCTTGAGCGGTGGAATAGGAGGACGGACGGACTGAGGGGGAGGAAGGACCGAGGAAGGAGCAGCAGTTGCGAGAGCAAGAGGAAGAGGGGATGGAGGGGGAGGAGGATGAGGAGGAGGAGGAGGGGGAGGAGGAGGAGGAGGAGGAGGAGGAGGAGGAGGACGGCCGACGCCAGGAAAGGAAGCATGAGAGGGAAGAGAAGTGTGCATGGGGTGAGAAGGAGTAGGAGCAGCGCGCCCGCACCCACAGGCGAAGAACTTCGGCGACCCGTTCAGCAGGAACTGGCTCCGGAGCTGCTCCAGGTTCGCCACCCCCCTCTAGATCACTGCCACGATCGCCATCGTCATCATCATCATGATCATCGCAGTCGTCGGAACTCATGCCGAGAGCTGCGTCTGCCACTTCAACGTCTGGGTCCCGTAGCGACCTGGGCAGCGCGAGGGCGCGAGACAGACGTCAGATGAGGAGGGGGAGGAGCAGCAGGAGGAGGAGGAGGAGGAGGAGGAGGAGGAGGAGGGGGAGGAGGAGGAGGGAGGCGGGAGGAGGGAGGAGGGAGGCGGAGGGAGGAGGGAGGCGGGAGGAGGAAGGAGGAAGAGGAGGAGGAGGAGGAGGAGGCACGTTTCCACCGAAGGGCCAACTCAAGGCCCACCGAACGGAGCCGACGGAGTGCGGCTCAGAAAGCTGAATCTCTGCGGGCCCGACAACGGGCCTCAGCAGGAGCAGGAGGACGAGGGGGGGGTGAGGAGGAGGAGGAGGACGACGACAAGGACGGAGGCCTTCACTCCTCCGCCCCTCCTCCTCCTCCTCCTCCTCCCCCTCCTCCTCCTCCTCCTCCTCCTCCTCCTCCTCCCCTCCTTCCTCCTCCTCCTCCCCCTCCCCCTCCTCCTCCCCCTCCTCCTCCTCCTCCTCCTCCTCCTCCTCCTCCTCCTCCTCCTCCTCCTCCTCCTCCTCCTCCTCCTCCCCTCCTCCCCCCCCTCCTCCCCCCCCACCTCCTCCTCCTCAAAGCTTCGGGGCGGCAGAGTTTTCCGAAGTGCCCCCGCAACCCGTCGCTGATGCAGTCGTCGCTGCTGTCCTCGCGAGCCCGTTCCGCCATCGCTTCCTCCACGAGTTTCATGATTTTCTCTTTGGCAGCAGAACCCTGCAGCTTCTATGCGATAATCTTCTTCTCGTCATTCGCTGATCCCTGCGTGTCTCCGTCTTCCATGTCGTCGCCTTCGTCGCCATAGCAGTCATGATCACGTTTCATCTGGTTGGCGGCTTCATTCAGCTCGTCGGCGTAGTAATCGCAATCGTCGTCAGGGTAGTCGCCCTCCTCCTCCTCGCCCTCTCCGTCTCCGCCGTCTTCTCGCCCTGGCCGTGGGCGGCGCCGTTTCACCTTCAGGCCCTGGCTGGTAGCCTCGAACAGTGTCGTGCACTCGACAATCCTCCCCTTCCCGACCTCATCCCACTGGACTACCATATCGAACACATGCACCCCCTGGATCGCCGCCTCGGGATCGGAATCTCGTTGCTGCTGCTCAAACAATGCGACTGCTGAATGGAGGTGAATGAAAAGATCCAGAGACTTGCGAAACTCTAAATGCTTGTCCCGATGGCCCTCGCCGTCCGCATTCTCCTCCTGCGTCTCGAACTCGACTTCCATATCGAACGGCGGCTCGGCTTCGGACCCCTCGATATCATACAGCGACAAGCGGGTCATGACACCAGACAACGCATATTTGAGGGAGAAGTGCCACGCGCTTGAGTTGCTCAACTCTTGTCCAGCTTGTGGCGAGAATGCCAATATATGATTCCAGTAGTCACCCTTCTCGACGGCGTGCCTGAACCATTTGAGTTGGTATGCTGTCGCCCATTCCGTTGGCGTGAGTTGGTTTGGCGAGAGGGGTCGGCAGGGCTCGGGAACGTCAGGATGCGGGGGGGGACATTTCCACCGGGCAGGATTATTCAAGATCTGTTTCGCCCCGGACCACCCCGACTCTGCTTCAATCAAGGTTGCTCTGATCGCTGGCTCTGTCACGCTATGCTTGTTTTTCTGCCAAACCTTGTCGTACTGTTTCTTGTGGTTGATATACTTAGACAACGAAACACGAGCACTCAAAGTATGTTGCGCAATGCTCGGGCCCCTCTCGACCGCCCAGGTGAGCACTCTGTTCGTGGACTCGATGTCCTGCGTGTCGCAGAACCACTGGCTAGCGACGGTCCTGGCGCTGCAGGCGGAGAACGGGGGGGGGGCCCTCCGCCTTCTTATCCTCTTCCTCATCGTCCGCCTGCTCATCCTGCCCTCCGAGCCCTCCTCACCCTCAGGTCCCCCTCTTCCTCCTCCTTCCTCCCTCGCGCTGTCCTCCAGAACTGGCACACTGGCGCCCATAGCTGACCGTCGGCGGCTGCGTAAGCCAAAGCGTCGCCAAATAGGATGCTCGCCTTCAGGGCATTGATTTCCAGCAAGTGGGGATCCGTCGAGATCAACTCCCGGGCAACCGTCTTCCGATCCTGAGGCCGCCGTCGTCGCCGCCGCCCTCGCAGTTAGCAGTCGCCGCCAAATCGTCGCTGCCGCCGCCGCCGTTGCCGACGACGCCGCAGTCGCGGCCCCGACGTCTTAAGGGGGCGGGGGAGAAGGAGGAGGAGGAAGAGGAGGAGGAGGAGGAGAAGGAGGGCGGAGGGCGGAGGGTGGAGGGTGGAAGGGGGAGGGGGGACAGGAGGAGGAGGAGGAGGAGGGGGGGGGGGAGGGGGGAGGGAGGAGTGGAGAGGGGGGAAGGTCCTCGCATCGCACATTCGGGGCGTTCTTCGCCAGCAAGAGCAGCTTGATCGGGAAAGTGCCAAGCCGAGACCCCACGCGGTGGAAGTAATCAGCAGCGAGCATCGCAGAGCCAGCCACAATACCCTCAATCAGCAAGCCCATCAAAGATAAAGGTGCCATATCGAGAAGATCAATCCAGCGCTCCTTCCGAAGATTCGCAGCGAACTCTTTAGACAGGATGTCGCTTTTATACCAGACTAGCTTTGCTAATGCACTTGCCTCCCCAGCCTTTCTCGCACCCAGGCTCCTCTCTTGCTGCAGCCAATTTAGGAAGTGTCCCATCGGTTCCCTTTGCATGTTCATCATGGCAATGGTGAGATTAAAGAACTCGTTGCTGTTGATGGCCAATACAGATCTCTTCCACCATGTGTTAAGTTTCAACTGGTATGCCATGCCCTCCTCTACTGCCAACTCGTCTACAGCATCGCCATCATCTCTCTTTCTTGTTTTCTTCGCTGCTTTCTGCATCGCAACTCTGTTCCACGCCTCTCTGAAGACATCGCGGTCGACGGCTAGTAACCTCTTCTCGCATTCTGTCACGGCCCCCCATCGGCCACCAATACACTTGGGCGGAACGTTCTTGACAAGTTTTTGGCTAGGTTGGTGAACATCAAACATTTCTCTGTAAATATCCTTGCCTGCATTCCGCCAGCAATTCATAGTCACCGCCAAAGTACTGAAGTACGTTTTGATAGACCCATCAGTGACGCCTTTGATAAACGTATCGCCGAATTTGAGATGGTATTTCACAGAAAAGTGGCTCTGGTGCATCAGGCATGGTACCCATCCAAAGAAGATCAGAATGGATGCCACGCATTGGGCCCCAGCGGACTTGGCTGCGAAGACCTGATCGGAACCAGCATCGGTGCAAACTGCCCAAGCTTCGATTGGAGGCAACTTCCCAGCTGTCATATCGAGCGCCCCATCTGATTTAAGCTTAGCAAGCTGAGCCTGAAACAATTCGACCAAAGCTGAGCCAGAAGTCGGTTCCTGGAGATCTGTCTCGAGGCACCCCTCTAAGCAAGATCTAGATGTCAAAGTTGCAGCCTCCCAATCAACCACACCTAGCCCCGCAATCTGTTTTTTCCACAGGGCCAGCGCGTCCAAACCTTTGCTCCCCTCAACGGCCAAAATATCAGCGAATAAAGCATTCTCCTCGACATCCGCTTCATGACCATCCCATCCGTCTGGAAAAGGTGATGATGGAGAGAAACCCCAGGCGCTCGAGACCTCCAGGACGTGTAATTTTTGACGCTGCCATGCGCTGGCATTAGTTGCGTCTGCTCGTAGCCGGTGGACGACAACCCTAAGACCTGGGGACCACGACGAATCTTGATTGTCATGGTAGATCTGCGAACGTGCAAGTTTCTGCGAAGCTGAAAATGCCGATACAAGTGCAGCGTGCGCGGTGCGCTCCCACCGCCCCAAGGTGGCATGAGAGATGTCGCTGCGGACTGAGAGGCCATAGGCAATGGCCGCAGTGCGGCTGTTGCATCTCCGGAGGGCGTGGGTGAGCCCACCCTTGACTGAAAAGTATCTCTGTCTCTTGCCGCGCTTCCCATTTGCTAGCATCTCGTCCAGCCTTGCTCGAGCATGTCTGTTTTCTTCCCTGGCTTCCATACACTTGCGCTTCCAGTATGATGCCTTAGATTTCCACTTGCTCACAGGATCTTGGGGAGTTCGATGAGTTCGATTGAGCACCTTGAAACGTCGTCTTTTGAGAAATGGTGGTGGCCTTCGCATTGCTTTGGCTCTGGCTCTGGGGACGGCTGGGGCTGGGTCTGGAGCGCTTGTAGCCGCCGGTGGTGCCGAGGTCCCCCATCGAATCTCACTGCCAACGTTCTCCCGAAGAATTCTCAGCATGTTAGATTGAACAGTGCGCCACTGACTGACATCAACCATCCTGCCGCATCTCAATAGTATAAAGGGAACCACATCCAATCGATAATGTGTCTCTGAAACTTTGAAGCTCTCACATGCTCGAGGTACGCCCCTGAGTCCTCAAGGATCCCAAACGAAACAAATGAGGAATGATGAGGGGGAGGGCGACTAGAACGCAGGAACAATAAATACATATGCAAGGGATAAGCAACAGCAGCGGCAGGAGAACCACGAGATCGACGCAGGAAAGTTAGGGGGATGTGCTTAGAAGTTCCGAGTCCAGGAGTCCCGAATCCCGAGGAGATCCCGAAGAGGAGCCCAGGAGCCCCGAGTCCCAGAAGAACCGAATAGCCCAGGAAACCTGATGAACCACAACAGAAAATTTGAACGTATGCAAGTCCTGTATTTGCAACTGAATTCAGCACCTCGACCAAGCCGTGCTCCATGATCAATGGAACATCGCCCGGGGCAGTGCAGCGAGATGGCAGAGCGGCCTGAAGTCTGCCAAGCATCGCCGCGGCCCATGGTCGAGACGGCGAGACGCCAACCCTGAAGCGGGCAACTCGGGCCACGCTCAGCCGCGGGGCGGAGACGGGAGACGGTGACGACGACGTCCCTGCCCATCCCCCAGAAAGAGAGCCACGACCGAGCTCCGAAGGCCCTGAGTCAACCCATCCGAGCGATGTGCGCCGACCAATCCAGAACGCAAGAGGCCTACATTGTTCGGTTACGATACACAAAATGAGGCTCTCGCCTTGGCGCCGCGCACATCCGTGTTCAACTGGGCACGTGCTTATGATCATCTTCCTCCCTTTTTTTTTTCGTCCTGCGGGAAGCTAAGCGCTGCAACCAATTCGCCACTCTAAAAAAACAAAGGTCAGGCAAGAGAAAACGCGCAGAGGAAGCCATGGGGCGCTCACAAAACATGTTGTTATCAATGAAACCACGCATGGAAAACGATGCGTAGCTCCGAAAAAAATGATTGATCATAGCAAACGAGACGCTGGAACCAGAGGTACATGTTAAAAAACGAGAACGGGAATATCGGAACAAGAGCATCGGATCTATGCATCGCCATCGGAAAAGAGGAGGCCGCGTCTGGCCCTACGGGGCGTGAGGGGCCATGAATGAGTAAGACAGAACGCAACGGCGATGAACCTCCTTAAATGATGTCTTTGGGGAGGGGCCTCGTGTCGCAGAGGGCGCTGCGCTAGTACGCAATTTCTCCCTCCTCCTCCTTTTCCTCTTCCATCCTTCTCCTCCTCCTCCTCCTCCTCCTCCTCCTCCTCCTCCTCCTCCTCCTCCTCCTCCTCGTCGGCCACCTGACCATCCGACCACCTGACCGCCTGATCACCTGACAACCTGACCACCTGAGCACCTGAACACCGTTCATCTGACCACCTGAGCGCCTGACCACCTGACCACCTGACCACCTGAGCGCCTGACCACCTGACCGCCTGACCACCTGACCACCTGACCGCCTGACCACCTGATCACCCGACCACCTGACCACCTGACCACATAACGAGTGACCACATAATGTCTTGTGTATGGGGGGCTGCCAACTGCTCCCAGTATGCTTCTACACGCGTCGTTCTGCTTCTCTCGTTTGATCGAGGACGCTTCCTGCCAATGATTGAAGTCGCAAGAGTGATGCCGCGATTGGGAGCCGTTTGACTGTGGCCCGCTCTTGTTTGGCAAAAAGTTCGAGGGTGCGGTACGTCCTTCGATGCTTGTTTTTGAATGGACCGGTCCTGTGTATCGTCGCTCCATGTGTGAAAAGGGTTGGGTACGCCCCTGGGTACTTTTGTCGCGTCGTCGGATCTCAGGGGTGGCCCTGGACGAGAACGACCTTCGGTGCGCGGCCTGCCGATCGCTGCATGCGATGCGGCAGCAGCGGCCCTCGTGCCTGGCGTTTTGGCTCCCCCGCGCCCCGCCGAACGCCGCGCACCCACGGGTCACTCTGGCGAAGGGCCCCCCCCTACGCGCAGCCGCACAACACTGCACTGGCGGGGCCCTTCCGAGGCCGCGGGCCGCGCGTGCGACGGGCCCTCTCGGGACTTCGAGCACTGGGCCCGTGCCGTGTCGGCCAGTCCGGGGCCCAGGAAGGGCTCCGCCAGCGCCAGTCTGGCGGCGTGCACAAGGGGGTAGAGGGGGGGGAGGCTTCTTAGAAGGAGGCCGCTTCTTAGAAGGCGCGGGCCTGGCATCTACAAACAGGGCCCGTGCTTTCTAAGAAGCAGCCTTCCCCCCTCCCCCTTCGGGGATGGACAGACCTCCCCTTAGTAAAACATGGTTTAGTGAAAACGACTTTGGGCCCAAACCTGGCGGGCGCAAGCCTGGAAAATAACGGCCACGGCGCCCTCTCGAAAACCGAAAACGTACAATTCACTAATCGACGTGCCACTGTTGGGGGTACTGTCCACCCCCTCCCCCATACCCCCCTCTGCGGGTGGCTGACCAGGGTCAGTGCGCAGTTGGCAGTTGCCGGCCTGTGGTACACTGGCCCGAGCACTTCCGCGGCCGCCAGCGCCCGCCCCCTGTCGAGCTTCTCGGCCAGTGCGGCCTGCTGCATCTGCTCCTGCGAGCCCGCGAACGCCTCCTGAGCCAGCCCGTGATTCCGCGTCCGCGACTCCTCGAACGCCACGTCGCGCCCGCGTATCTCCCTGACCTGCCGCACTGCGTCCAAGTGGACGTCCTCCGCCTCCCTCAGCGTCGCGTTCAGGGCCTGCCGCACTTGGGCGTCCACGCGCGCCGCGACCTGCCGGTCGACGGCGCCGAGCGCGTCCCGCCGCTGCGCCACCTCTTCGCACACACTTTTTTGAGCCGCGGGTCGAGAGCGCACCTCTTCCGGTCGAAGCTAAGCGGGCCGCGCGAAGCTTGAATTAGGCGGAGAAGAGGAGGGAGGAAGCGGCGGAGCCTCAGAGCGAGGCCGAGGGGAGGCATAGCCTCGGGTACAGCCCTCTTCGCACACACGCAGCGAGCGGCCCTGGGCAGGAGTGGCCTCTCGTGCGCGGCTTCTGGCGCCGTGGCTGGGGTCAGATCCCAGCGCGCGGGCCAGTGCTCGGGGGCATCCCGGCAGGCCCGCACAAAAGAGGTCACTCCGGAGAAGGGCCACGCTCGCGTGCGGCCGACCTCTGCGCCCGACGCGCTGCGCTGCTGCAGCCAGGCCTGCTGCACCTCCAGCTCGAGGGCCTCCACCTGAACGACCGAACAGAGACGGGCCTTGGGCCTCGGGCGAGGAGGCGTGGCAACCTTCTGCGGTGGCTTGCGCGGGCCACCAGTTCGGCACGCTACACTGGAAGCGAGGGAGCTTACGCGCCACCTTGCGCATGCAGCTTGCGCGCGTGGCCGCGCCGTCGACCCCGCTCTCTTCCGTTGCTCGCCTGCCGCCGCGCAGCGCCCTCCGCCTCGCGCACGCGCGCCTCGCTGGCGCGCTGCGCTGCGGCGATGCGCGCCTGGCTCTCAGCCTGCAGGCGCCTCCGGCGCTCCGCCACCTCGCGAGCGGCCTCGCGCGCCGACTCCTGAGCACTGCCTGACCCATCTCGATCCCCGCTGGCGTGGCCTTGGCCTCGCTTGCCGACCTCTACACACAGGCGGGGAGGTGTGCCTGCTCCTGCGGGCGTCGCGGAGCCGATCCCGACGCGGAGGGGAGTGCTGGTGAGGCTGAGCCACCATGGCCCAGTAGCAGAAAAAGAGACATCGGCATACGCAGAAACATTTGGCGCTCCGCGCGGAGTTCTTAGATCTGCGCTGGACCCTCCTCCCTGGCGCGGGGAGCGCGCCAGGGGCGGCGCCGCACGCGCCGCCAGCGGGTCCCAGCGCGGATCCAAGAAATCCCGCGAGGAGCGCCAAAAGTTTACATTTTCGGCGCATTTTCTTCTTCGGGGTAGGGATGGGATGGGGATCGGTCAGGAGATGCCGAGCTCCTGCACCTCCGCCTCGCGGAGGGAGGCCTTCTCGAGCTGCCCCCGCTCGTCCCTCAGGGCCGCCTCCACGCCAAGCCTGCGGGCCCGCTCGGCCTCGATCTGCCGCTCGATGTTCTGGACCTCCCGGTCGCAGTCCTCCACGAGGTCCTCGCCGCGCTCGGCCTCGTCCTGGGCGGGGGGAGGAGCCGCACCCTCAGACTAAGAGCACCGCATACAGGCGAGGCCGCTTCGTAAGTGCACCTCGGGGAGGAGGCGATCGGGGCAGGACTGCTTCGTACACGCCCAGGGCTGTTCCGCAAACGTCACTGGTGGGGGCCCGTGTGTCTTTGCATCCTTTGGCTCCTGGGCCTGCTCGCGCAGGTCCGCGACGACCTTCGCGATCCTCTGCTCCTGAGGCCAGCCCAACGCTAAGGTGACGGCAAGCTGATGACAAATTCGAATGAGGATAAATTGCGAATCAATCCGTCTGGAGCCATTCTTTGAGCAGGAGTAATAAGCAGAGGGGTTACGAGGCGCGCGGCGTCTAGAGCTTTGAGACAAAACGCTTGAAACAACTTACGATTTTCGGATGAACTATTGTCACGCTGCTGGTTTATAGGAAATCTGGGGGGTACCGCGCCCGAAGATCAGGAGACTCGAACGTGAGGATTTGGAAATTGCCTCGGCAAACCAGGTGTCAGACCAACCGATTCCGAAACAGGTGTGCCTATCCGGAAAAGCGGCGGCACTGCCAGAAAACCGCATTGTTCGCAGATGCGTGTTCCGATTTACGTCACCGCAGCTGGCGCAGCCAGGGGGCGCGCGAAAGCGAGGGCACCCAAGAGTTTGAAGGGGCCCACAAACACACAAATAAATACACACAAATAAAAAGAAACCCTATATTTTCCTAATTTTCTAAGTTTCTGTCTTCCCCCCCACTTCCCATATTTTCCCATATTGCCTGGGGGATCGAGGATTAATTGTGTCTGTGTGTTTCTTTTCCTCCTGAGAGTTTTCTGGGGGCACATGACCAGAATGCATACGCTCAGGGCCGCGCGGGGGGAGGCGAGGATCTGTTTTTTTCGCCGGCCTGGACAATGAAAACGACTGTCTCCACACATGGAAGGCCAAAAATCGACAACATTGTGTTTAGTACTCTGACTCTTTGCACTGCAGCGAATGTTCCGTCATGGCACGGCTTCTAGCCTCTGGGAACCGACGGGTCTGAAAGGAGGTATCGAGCACCGCGGCAATTCCAGAGCGTTCTGGAGTCGCTCTGAGAGCGCTCTGAAGCGCTCTGGAGCGATTTGACCTCATCCTGGGCCTGCGTGACAAGCGCATTCCTCATCTGACCACTTCCATGGCCGCTCGGGGCCTTGCAGCGCCCAGAGGTACAGGAAGAATCCGGTGGGACCCTGGAGAAGAGGCAGGATCAGTCGGATCGGCCTGCATTGGCACGGAGTGAAAGTCGAATCGGATCGGCTGCGCCAGAGTGCACAACTGCGCCCAACGAGCCTCGGGCCGCATCGGACCGTCGGAACATCGGAATCGAACTGGACCGAGCCGGACGGAGTCGGGATCGAATCGGATCGATCCCACATGTTGAGCTGTGGAGGAGGAGGAGGAGGAGGAGGAGGAGGAGGAAGAGTGATGCCGCGAAGCCGAGCACGGATGACGCCCGACGGCCCAACGGCTGTCCTCCGCGGCCGCCACCGCGAGCACCTCCGCGACGCGCTCGTCGGCCTCCCTCTCCGTCCGCTGCAGCCTCTCAGACGGGACGGCAGATCCCACGAAAGGATCCAGGGGCTGCCGACTGGGACCGTCAAACTAGCCTGCCGAAAGACCCAACCGCATGCAGGCGCGAGTGCCGCAAGACAGGCGGAAACTAAGCCAGGCGGCGAGCAAAGTGACCAGGGCACTTGTAAAAATGACCAAGGGGTGATGTTGATGGGGTCACAGAGGGAATGTGACCTGTTACGGCTGGTCTTCGCCTTCGATCCCACAAGAGTCAATGGGCTGCCGAACGCCACCGCCAAAACAAGAACGACCCAGGACGACAAACCCGATCTGGGGAAAGGGCTATCAGCATGAAGACCTAGTACGATTGCTTGCAAGCGTGACCCCCAACATCGGGTTCTTGCGCTCTCGATGTGCAACGCTTGTAACGCATCCAGTGTATGGTGCACACTACGTGCTGCGATCGGCATGTACATGCTGCAACTGAGCATCCGCCATGCGGTGCCACATACGCGATGCAATAGGTGTATGTAAATTTGTATATAGATATGGGGCACTCTGTACCGTGATGTGGTGCAACATCTCTTCTGCAATCCCAATGGCGCGCTATATGCGATGCACTCCACGTGACATGTACTGCCATGTGTGGGTGCAAGCAATGCTGTCTGTGAAGTGCAAGCTATGGAGTACGACATATTTGGTGCAACGCGGATTGCAGAACTTGAAATCGTCAACTCCACTGCTCGCGCAGCCGTCCCACCCACCCAACCCGAACTTGCTCTGCACAACCCATGCGACCGTTTCTGCGGTCACTGCTTGGCACTGGCTGGCGCATACCTGCCACTGCGCTACAAGCTCGCGAGCAGAGCGGCCAACTGGTTCGGCACAACCGACGCGGCCGCGATGGCGCTTTCGGATGGGAGCTCTCCCAGCGCGTCTCCCAGGCCGCGCCGGCACGCGAGTGCTTCCGTGCGGGTCGGTGACTCGGGCGGGCGCGGCATCATGATGAGGCAGGCAACGGCGGCAACGGTGAAGATAGCAGCGACGGTGGCGATGATGACGATGACGATGACAAGGCCAATGACGACGCCCATGCTAGTGACGATGATGGCGATGCTGATGTGGATGCGTCAGCGGGGAAGGTGATTGACTGATGATGGCGGCAACGGCAGCGGTTGGCGATGGCGATAATGGCGGAGATGCGGTGGCGCTGATAAGGGCAATGGTGAGGAAGTGTGCGCGCGGAACTGCAATAAACCTGGCATTGTTTCTGCTGAAGCACACGTGGTTGGCATGCGTTGGTGAAGAACTCTGTCTTGAGATGCTTCAAACACCTATGGGCTTGGACGGCTTTCGACTCCGCGCGCATGGCGGCGCGCGCGCGTGGCCCGCGATGGTATTCTTTGATATGGATTCGTGGCGCATTCTGGACCAACGCGGATGCACCGCGTGATAAGATGAGAATGCCATTTCTGGGCAATCCATCTGGGCCTTATGATCTCAGCACGTGCGAGAGGGCAGAACATCTGCATGAAGTATCCTGGCAAACCAGAGTTTGAAACAGTTGTATGTTGGCATGCTTGACAACCTTTTGTGTTCTGGTATGCGTTCGACGTTGCGCGCGCGTGGGCATTGTGCCCCTTTTCGAAAGGGATTCTCGAACACCTGCTCTTGTCTGATGAGCGAGCGTGCGCGCATAGTATGTTCTGGCCGTGATGAAGGCGGGGGGGGGCGATGCCCGGTTCGGCGGGGATGGTCTGACATCACATGGAAAACGAGCGACGAGTCAGAACCATACGTAAAGTGCAATGCCCCAGGGGGGCTGTGAACTCCGGGGGATGGTGGAGTCCATCTTTCTTTGGAAAAGGAGAATTGGGGTGCAATACATACCTAGCGATATGCACGCCGTTCCTTTCCAATCGTGCTCATTTCTAATTGTGCTCGCTTCTGACTCTTCCTGGCCCCCTGGTGGCCAGGAAGAGGCCCAGGATGGAACAATTAGAAACGCAAGGGCCTCGGCCCCCCAAACAATCTCGAAGAACCTTCGGAGACTCCGCGACGAACAGCGTGTAAAACAGGGCTAGGATCGGGATAACTCGCTCCAGAGCGTTCCGAAGCGCTCTCAGAGCGTTCCGGAACGCTCTGGAGCGGCCGCGGCGCCCAATACATCCTCCAAACCCGCCGATTCTCAGAGATTTCGAATTATCCCGATCCGATTTTGTCTCGATCTTCGCGTCGTTTTAGCGTGCACGGGCTGCAGGTTTTCTGCGTGTCGTGCAGAGCGCGCGGCTCAGGCCGTGCGGCGAACAGCGCCTGCCGTGCGCACGGAGAAACGCCACCCGAGGCGCCACGAGGTGGGCACACGAGGCGCCCCGCGGGCTCTGTTAAGCAGGGACCGACCGTCCCGGCATTCCTGCAGTATTACAGTCATCGGCCTGACCTAAGGAACGATAAATAAGGAGCGAAGCCCCTTTTTATCCCAAGGAATGACGCATAAGGAACGATTCATAAGAAATAACACGCAAGCAGCTGGAAATAACCCATGTAAATCATCGAGAGAGCGTGATCCACCGCCGCTTTACTGTGGTAAATTGCCAACCTTTTCCTCCGGAACCCGGGGGTCGCCCCCCCCCCCCCCCTCCGAAAATTTCCCCCCCCCCCTACCCCCCCCCCCCCCCCCCCCCCCCTCCCCCGACAAAACCCCCCCCTCCCCTAACCCCTCCCCCCCCCCCCCCCTCCCGCTCGAAAACCGGGGGGGGTCACTACCGTTCGAACCCCCCCCCCCCCCCCCCCCCCCCCTCCGGATCCGGAAAACCGGGGGGGTCACTACCGGTTCGACCCCCCCCCCCCCCCCCCCCCCCCTACTCACCGCCAGCAAACGACTCCCGGTCCCCACCACCGTCCGCATCACATCCCCCACTGGTGTTCCCAGCACCACTGTCCTCACCACCGCTGTCCCCACTGGTTCCACCACCGCCCCTACTGTCCCCACCAGTGGCCCCACCACTGTCGCACTGTCCCCGCTGTCCCCAGAACTGTTCCCACCACGGTTCCACCACTCTCCCCACTGTCTCCACGGCCCCAACCACTGCCCGACTATCCCCACTGTCCCCACTGTCCCACTGACTCCTCCGCTGTCCCACTGAGCTGTCCCACTGTTCCCACCACTGTCCCCACTGTCCCCACCACTGTCCCCACTGTACCTCTGTCCCATTGTCCCACCGCCGTCCTCGCCACCGCCTTCACCACTGTCCCCACCACCATTGTACCCTCCACTGTCCCACTGTTTCCACCTCATTCCCATTGTCCCCACACCACTGTCCCCACCACCACCGTCACCACCACTGTCCACTGTCCCCCCCCCTGTTCCCACCATTGTCCCCACCACTGTCCCCACCACCACCGTCACCACCACTGTCCACTGTCCCCCCCCCTGTTCCCACCATTGTCCCCACCACTGTCACCCTGTCCCCACCACGTCCCCACCACTGTCCCACTGTCCCACTGTCCCCACCACTGTCCCGCTATCCCCTCACCACTGTCCTCACCAACACCGTCCCCACCACTGTCCGCACCCCCACTGGTTTTGGAGGGGGGGGGGTTCGAACCGGTAGTGACCCCCCCCGGTTTTCCGAGGGGGGGGGGGGGGGGGGAGGGGTTCGAACCGGTAGTGAACCCCCCCCCCTTTTCATGATGAGCAGGGGGGGGGGGGGAGGGGTTCGAACCGGTAGTGACCCCCCCCGGTTTCCGGAGGGGGGGGGGGGGGGGGGGGGGGGGGGGAGGGGTTCGAACCGGTAGTGACCCCCCCCGGTTTTCCGCCAGCAGCGGTAGAACACGCTCTTTCAAACCTAAGGAACGACCGAGCCACTTTTGAAAAGTAAGTGTTCCTTATTCAAGCCGCCCACTGTCCCACGAAATGTTCTTAGAACCCCAAAATGTTCGAATAACAAAAGCAATGCTCTTAGAACATAAGCCCGAAATGTTCAAAGAACCTTTCGTGGAAAACACACAAGGTTCTTAGAACATGCTTTGGTGGGGCTGTAGGCGAGCCAGGACGCCTCGCCGCTTGACTCTGGCGGTGACCTGCCAGGATGCTGTCTCTCCTCGCGACGTCGTGCCCCACAGGGCCTGCGAGGGCGGAGGCGCATCTCCTTGGCGACGCGCGCCGACGCCGTGGCGCGCGACGGGGCCGGCCCTCTGAGAGGGTGGGGGGCCTTCTGAGAGGGCAGGGACCCTCTGCGAAGGGCCCGACGGAGGAGGAGGAGGAGGAGAAGGAGGAGGAGGAGAAGGAGGAGGCTTCCTGGAAGCCAGAAGGTCTTAAGATTCCTTAGGGAAGGAGGAGGAGGAGCAGGAGGAGGAGGAGGAGGAGGGCTTCCTGGAAGCCAGAAGGAGGAGGAGGAGGAGGAGGAGGAGGAGGAGGAGGAGGCGGCTTCCTTAGGGAGCCAACAAAGGACGTACGCGCCCAACTATGTACATGAACACGGCCCCATTGACCCGCGAGACCGGCCGCGATCTCGAAAACAGCGTGGGTTCATGTACAGCAGGTTCGTGTCGTGCCGACCCCAGCGTTGGTTTTTGACACCGCGGGGATCGTTCAACCTTGAACGATCGGCCGCTGCCGCAACGTGCGATCCTTCAACATCGACCGATTATGGGTCGCCGGCGGTGTTCACCTTGAACGCCCGCGCTGGGGTCGCCGCTGGTCGACACGACGCAAACCTCCGTACGTGTACGTCCTTCTTTCGCTCCTGACTCCTGGACGCCAGAAGGGCTTGAAATTCCGAGAAGCCCCCCCTGCCCTCGAGGCAGCCTCCCTGCCCTCGAGGCAGCCTCCCTGCCCTCCCTGCCCTCGAGGCAGCCTCCCTGCCCTCCCTGCCCTCCCTGCCCTCGAGGCAGAAGGGCTTAAAATTCCGAGAAGCCCCCCCCTGCCCTCGAGGCAGCCTCCCTGCCCTCACTGGGGAGGACGGCTCCCTCGCGCCGCCCAATTTCGTCCAGGGGGGGGGGGCACAAGGAGGGATTACAAAGGGGGTCCTCCTCATCCCTCTTCTCCTCGACTCCCTTCAATCCTGGATCCTGGATCCTCGATCCTCCTCCTCCTCCTCCCTCCTCCTCCTTCTCCTCCTCCTCCTTCTCCTTCTCCTTCTCCTCCTCCTCCTCCTCCTCCTCCTCCTCCTCCTCCTTCTCCTTCTCCTTCTCCTGCTGCATGCAACTGTTCCCGGCACCGCCGCCTCCCGGCGCCTGGAGCGACCACGCATCGAGAAGAGGGGCTGGCGGCGGGGCCGAAGCCAGCTGCATGCAGCAGATGTCGTACACCCCCCCGTTTCCAGAACAGACTCTTTCGTTCGACCCGAATGATTCTCGCCGTCTTGCTTTCGGGTCGCGTCTCGGTTCTCCAGCGGCCATTCGGGACGTCTCGGGCACCCCCGGAACGCTCTCGGCAATGAGCATCTGCTGGGATGCATCACGAGGCTGGACACACGACGAGAATCGGCGAGACCACCCGAAGACCTCAGACCCACCTCTTCATGTTGAGAAACGCAGTGCGGGCAACCTCTGCCGAGCTCCTGCCCTGGCGAAAGGGAATGTTGTCGGGCGCGCGCCAACATGGATTGGGGGTCCAGGGATCGGGAGCGGGTGCGCCAGATCCACGTTCGGGGAAGGTATCCTGCGAACCATGGGGCCAGAACAACACATACATTTGGACGCCCGAAACGGGTACGGAAAAAATCGTACGATGCCCAACAACAAATGTTGTCGAAAACCAACAGCGGCCGCTGTTGGGCAGGCGGCCTTCTGTCTCAGATGGACACGGGCCGCGGCGGCGCGGACAGCGAGTCCTGTTCAAAATGAACAGGAACAGCTGTTGGGCATCGTACCCATTCTTTCCGTGCCCATCTCGTTCGTGCAGAATACATACCCGTAGGGGGATCGGAGGGACGAGGACTGGCTATGGGCATGGGTGCGGGCTGTCGGTCCGCGGGGGAAGCTCCGTTCGAGCGGGGACCCCCACCCGCCAACGCGCACTCAGAGCCCCCTCTGGCCCCCCCCCGATGGATATGGGTGCGTGCTGTTCGCCTTAGTCCACGTTCCCAGACCTCCTCGAGTCATGAAAAAATCACGACGGGAGGTTTTTCGCCATTCTCGGCCTCTGGGGGGCCTTACCGGGCCTCGGGACCGTCAAAAAACGATTCAGGATGAGAAACCGGTCCTGGGGAATCGGTCGAGACCTCGGGGGGCCGACGTCATGGAAAAAATCATGACGTCGGGAGTCTGGGTTTGGGGAGACCGAAATGTACCGCTACCGCTACTCCCAGGACCTCTCCAGGGGTTCGCTGTGATCAGAATTTCGACGCGAATCCAGCGGTGGCGACGAGGGCCTCCCCAGAGGCCCAGGAAGGGGGAAAACGAGGGAAGGGTTCCTCCTCTGAATGTTCGTGCTCCCTCGATGGGTGCCCCTCGCCCATGGGCCCCCCGCCAGCATTTGGACGCCCGAAATGGGTACTGAAAGAATGGGTACAATGCCCAACAACAATTCCTGTTCATTTTCAACAGGATTCGCTGTCCACGCCGCCGCGGCCTGTGTCCATTCGAGACAGAAGGCCGCCTGCCCAACAGCGGCCGCTGTTGGTTCGGGACCACATTTGTTGTTGGGCATGTTGCCCATTCTTTCCGTACCCATTTCGGGTGTCCAAACAGCAGTCGACTCCCCCCGAGGAACGCCATTCTCCAGCCAGCCACGCGCCTCTCGACAGCCGCGGCCTCCCGGGCCCGGTGGGCTGCGGACTCCTGCGGCGGCGAGCACAGTCACCGAGGACTCCGAGGACTCCGAGGAGGAGGAGGAGGAGGAGGAGGAGGAGGAGGAGGACTCCGAGGACTCCGAGGACTCCGAGGAGGAGGAGGAGGACTCCGAGGAGGAGGAGGAGGAGGAGGAAGAGGAGGAGGAGGACTTCGAGGAGGACTCCGAGGAGAAGGAGGAGGAGGAGGAGGAAGAAAAGCAGACGTCGCCGCGGGAAGCGCGGTTCCGTCCTGCCGCCTAAGTGAGGGGGGGCTCCTCACGCTGGGCGGGCCGCCGCGGCGGGAGCTGCGGGCGGGGGCGAGGCGCGCCTCCCGAGACGCGTCGGAGAGATGGACAGATGCGCGGGCGCTCGCGCCGCCCGTGGGGTCAGGGGGCAAGGAGGAGGGGGAGGAGGAGGAGGAGGAGAGGAGGATGAGGAGAGGAGGAGGACGAAAAGGACTCCTAGGAGGAGGAGGAGGAGGAGGAGAGGTGAGGAGGAGGAGGAGGAGGAGGAGGAGGAGGACGACGAAAAGGACTCCTAGGAGGAGGAGGAGGAGGAGGAGGAGGAGGAGGAGGAGGAGGAGGAGGAGGAGGAGGAAGCTGCCTCGTGCCACGGCAGCACTGCTGGAAGTGGGGGGGGGGGCAGGCTGGGTGGCTCGGGCCCTCGGCAGGGGAGGTTGCCCCGTGCCGCGGCAGGACTGTGAGTGGCGTCCTGCCTGCCTGCCCGACGCGTCCGCTGGGCAGTGTGCTCGCCCTGGCTCTCCTCTCTGTCGCTTCCGCTCCCTCGTCCTCTCCCTAATTAGGGTGGGCGTCAGCCGTCGCGCCGTCCACGCACGAAGAACTGCAGGAGCGAACGAGTGGGAGCATGAGGAGGAGGGGCATCCAGTCAAAGGCGGCACCGTGTGAGATTGTCCACCGGACCGACCGCCGTCGGCCCCGAGCTGCCCTCCGCGGGGCGGCAAGGGAGGAGAGGTCCGCCGCCGCACCCGCCGCAGCCATCGGTGCGCGTCGGGCCCCTGCCCTCTCCCCGCGCTGCTCCCTTCGCGAGAACCCCTCCCGAGCCCTGGGTGGCCCTTACAGTCGAAACTCGGCCACAAGAGCGCGGGTCAAGAGGGTAACTCGTGCTCCTTCGCCGGAGGCCCAATGTCCACATGGAAGTGCCCCGAACGTAACGCACTCAAGGGCGGATCATACAAAACAGAACACGAGGAACATCAGGGCACCCCTCCACAGAGAGGGCTGCTCTTGACCCTCGCGCCAGCTGCCTCTCGGCGCCCTGGCTGCAAGAGGCGCCCGCACGCAGCGGACAGCGCCGGTGCGCACTGGGGCTGCGCCGGAGGGAGCCCCGGCCACCCGCGCAGCGAGAGAGCCCAAGCAGGAGGGACCCGTGCGTGCGTAGCCTCAGGGGGGTCGCGGGGGGGGAGCGGGGGCAGGGAAACCCGAGCGCGCAGGCTGCGGCTGTCGCAGCGCCTGCAGCGATCGGGGGACCCCGGGGCGCCGCCCGCCCTCGGCTGGTACGCGCTCGGGAGCGACCCCCCCGCCGGGGAGGCGCCGGGCTCCTCCCGCCCCCGGCGCGGAGGTGGACACGTGAAACCCCGTGGTTTTCTCGAGACATTCTCAACACATCCTCATGCTAGGCATCCGCCTGGGCAACCTGGACACGTGCAAACAAGCATCTCGATCGAGACTTCCTCAACACATCCTCATGTCAGACATCCGCCTGGGCGACGAGGACGCGTGAAACCAAGCGTCTCGCTCGAGACATCCTCAACAAATCCTGGCGCTAGACCTCTGCCTGGGCAGCCTGGAAGCGTGAAACCAAGCGTCTCGCTCGAGGCATCCTCAAGCCATGGGCACGTGAAAAGAAGCATTTCACTTGAGAGATCCTCTAAATTCTGGTCCCCAGGAGAAGATAATCTATAACACAAAACAAGCGCTTCGCTCGAGACTTCCTCAAGAAATTCTGTAAAGCAAGCGTTTCGCTCGAGACATCAAACATCTTATCCGCCGGCCCTACGCGACCTCGTTATTGACCGCAAAGCAATTTCGCCAGCCCGACCGCCGTCAGAACCGGGAGTAAACACACTGAAAGAAAACCCTGGGCCTGTAGCCCTTTCCGGGAAAAACCTTTCGAGAGGCACCCCCCGAGAGTCCCGAGACCCGTGCGCGCCAGCAAATACGCCTGCTAAGCTCAAAACCGGGGGTAAACCTACTAAAAGAGAACCCTGGGCCTATGCCCTTTCCGGGAAAAACCTTTCAAAAGGCACCCCCCGAGAGTCCTGAGACCCGTGCGCGCCAGCAAATACGCCAGCGAGGACGGGGGGGTCGAGCTCAAGCGGGGGGGGGGTCCAAGAAACCGGGGAGGGCAGCGGGGGGAGGAGGGACGTCGTCGTCATCATCGTCCGTCGTTGACCCGGTCGTCGGTCGTCGTCGTCGTCGTCGTCGTCGTCGTCGTCGTCGTCGTCGTCGTCATCGTCCGTTCCCACACGCATCGGGAGCGCCCCGGATCGGCGGCACTGGCCGGAGGCCATTACGATACGCTGAGCCGTCTATAGTCGCTCGAAGGCCTGGCGGGGCCGGTCAGGTCTGCGGCCGAACGGTGCGCAGCGGTGGGCCCTGCTCCCGTCCGTCCGCTGCACGACTCGGCCTCAGGCTGGTCCTCCTCCTCCTCCTCCTCCTCCTCCTCATCCTCCTCCTCCTCCTCCTCCACCTCTTCCTCCTCCTCCTCCTCCTCCTCCTCCTCCTCCTCGTCCTCCTCCTCTTGCTTGTGCGGAACCAGGACCAGGACAACATCGGACCGGGATGCATCGGGGATCTCGGAAATCTGGCGGCTATGGAGAATGTACCGGGCGCACTGGCCTTTACAGCGAACGCTCCGAGAGCGTTCCGGCACGTTCTGGGATGGTTCATCCCTGTCCTACTGCCCTCGGCACTTTTTCCGTCGGCGGCGAGGCAAAGTTGGCTGCACCGGCGATAGAGCTAAACGGGGGCACCAAGAAGCGAAGTGGCCAGCGTGTAAGAGTGGGAATAGTGCAGAGGGGGCGGCCGCGGAGGGGGGGGAGAAAAGGCCACTCGGAGGCGGAAGAGCTCTCACCTGCGCGAGCTGGCGCGGCCAGCCCCGCCAGCGGGATCCATGGCAGCTGCTGGGCTGCGGCGCCAGGGCACCCACGGGCGATGACGGGGCCCAGTGCGTGTAAAGCGGATACATACTGCAGTGACTCTGCCGATGAAATTGGCGAAATAATTGGACGACTGGAGTGCTGCAAGGCCGCCCAGGTGGGTGGCACGTGACAAGATACGGCAAGTTCGCGACCAGTCTAGGTCTGGACTGCAACCAGCAACATGCTGGGCCCGTGGAGGGGAACGGGCGGCAAGACCGAGCCCAGGTGCCCAACCACGTGGGGAGGCTGCAAGATGCGGCAGCCTCGCGAGCACCATGGCGGCGCGCGGAGGGAGGGGGGGGAAAAGGAAACGGCAGGGGGGGCGGGAGAGTGGGCGAGGAAGAGGAGCGCCCCGCCTGTAGGGAGATCTCCTGCAGGCGGGGCGGCAGCGCTGGCGCCAGCGCCGGCGGGCGGTAGGCAGGCGGCCCGCGCACTGTGCTGCTGCGGACGTCTGTGCGCTACCTCTACCGGCGGGCAAGGGTAGCTGAAGCACGCCCAGAGCTGCCCAGCAGGGAGCAGCGGAGCGGAAGTGCCTGGAACAAAACTGTGGCCAAGGCCGTGAGGCTGCGCGCTGCCGTGGGTGGACAGTGCGGGCCAAGACTAGGGGCACCTAATCCGTGCGGAAGCTGTTTTAGTGAAGCGGCCGAGGCCGACGGGAGCCGCGCTGCCGGGGTGGACAGCACGCTGCCAGGGCATCTAATCGGTCAAAGCTGTGGCCAAGACCGAGAGGCCGCGCGCAGTGCGGGCCAAGACTAGGGGCACCTAATCGGTGCGGAAGCTGTTTTAGTGAAGCGGCCGATGCCAAGGAAGCCACGCGCTGCTGGGGTGGACAGCACGCGGCCAGGGCACCTAATCGGTGTGGAAACAGATGCGAAAAGAACCAGTGAAGGGAAAGGTGCCATGCGCCGCCGGGGTGGTTGGCGCGTGGCGTCTAGGGCCGTCGGGTGACGAAGGCGATGATGAGGCAGCGCTGATGCGGCTGGGCGGTTCGCATGGTCCTGGGTGCATTGCGGGCTGGGCGAGGGCGGCGTGGAGGGAACCGTTGTTTGCGCCTTGGCCAGGGGGTTCTGCGCTGAACAGTGGCGCCATCGCGTCAGGTTCCCGCCTGGAGGGGACTGCCCTCGACACAATTAACCTCAAAAATGTGTCACGCCGTTTTGTTATCGAGGGCGCAAGATACTTGTTGGCGCCCCCTCTCCAATGTCTGTCATCGTGGAACTTCCGAGTCGCACCTGCACAGACCGCGTTTCGATCTTCTTCGACATTGAAGGGGGCGACACTGAACGGGTGAAAGGTGAAAGTCGGCGACATTCAAATGGGGTGTGAACCATGTTTGAGGTTAGTCTTGCTGAGGGCTGTACCCACGTCCGACAGTCCCCTCCCTGCTCGAGTGTTGCTGGAAGTGCTCCCGGCCAGATGTGCCCACCAGGATTTCCAGGGAGGCCCCCACGGCCTCCAGAGCACCCCTCACGAGGCCCAGAGGGCCCCAGGGGGGCCAAAATGGAATGGAAAGCGCGGGGCACCTGGGGCCAGGGGCACCTCTGGCAGCCCCCGACGTCCTCTCGGGCGCGTGTCCTGGCCCGCCCCCTGGCGCCCCCCCCCCCCCTTGCCCACCGCCGGAGCGTCCGGTCCCCGTGCACTTTGTCGGTGTCGTGGGCGCTTTTTTTTTTGTCTCGCGAGATGGGTCCCACGATGCTCCTCGATGGCCCTCGCCGAACAATTAATTATAGCCGGAGTGCGGTATCCCCAAACAGGGTTTTTAGACCCACTGCGGCTTCCAAGGTCGATTGCGTGCCCGTCCAGTGCGGGCTGGCATGGCATGTTAAAACATGCCTCCTCCTCCTCCTCCTGCTCCTGCTCCTGCTCCTGCTCCTGCTCCTCCTCCTCCTCCTCCTCCTCCTCCTCCTCCTCCTCCTCCTCCACCTCCCCTCCATCCCGAACGGCACCTCGGAGCCTAGAGCTGCGAGGCTGTCTCCAGCGTAACGGGCTGGACCACCTCGCGCCGCCAAAGGCCCCCGTCCGCCGGCTCCTGCACCGCGGCCTCGACCCGCGCCTGGTGCGCACCCTCGTCGAAGTGCCACTCGTCGGCGCGGGCCTCGCACCTCTCGGGCCGCCGCAGGGAAGAAGCGGCGGGGGGGGGAGGAGGAGGGCAGAGCTGCCCAGGGGGCCTCCTCCTCCTCCTCCTCCTCCTCCTCCTCCTCCTCCTCCTCCTCCTCCTCCTCCTCCTCCTCCTCCATGTCGACCCCGATCCCAGGCTTCGAGGGGTGTTCGAATGGACCTGGCATCTGGGGCTGCATCCTGGGCTAGACGACAGGGGGGGGAGCCTGGGGGCTCCACCCTGGGCGATACTACAGCGGGGGGAGCCTCCCCCCCCCTGGGGCTAAACCATAGGGGGGGGAGCCTCCCCCCTCAATCCTGGGCTGTACGAGAGGGGATGGACGCCTCCCCTGGGGATCGAGGATGGACGCCTTTCCCGGGGAGGCGTCCATCCTCGATATGGGGTGCGTCCGCATAGCCCCCGTGGGTATATCACAGGGCCCCCCTCCTTTTCTGAGCGGCTTTTTTTTCGTCGAAAAGCCAAGGTCTGGGAGAGAAAACTCGGCTGCGGCAGGCTCGTGCCAAGACCATGCCAGAGGGGGCAGCATGCGACCGTAGCCACATCGAGAACACGCCCTGGGGAATGTCTTGCGAATGACAGCGAGTCGTCAGAGCACTAGAGCCAGCGCAGTTTTTGGTTGTGGTCGATGCTGGACCATAACCCAAACAACACCACCCCACCTATGTCCACACGGGGCATAGGGCTTCTGTGTGGTGTGCGCTACGGCCCCCGATGGGCCGCAGCGCAACATGGAGGGCCGCAAGTGGGGTGGTGTCGACCACAACCGCAGCCCGAGTGTTCACGTCGAGGTCGGTGGCTTCTGCCCCGAGGGGGCCCTCCAGAAAAATCCGTTTGGTTCTGGCCGAGGCTCTGAGGAGGAGGAGGAGGAGGAGGAAGAGGAGGAGGAGGAGGAGGAGGAGGACGAGGAGGAGGAGGATAGACGAGGAGGAGGAGGAGAGGAGGAGGATGAGGAGGGGGGGAGGAGGAGGAGGACGAGGAGGAGGAGGAGGAGGAGGGGGGAGGAGGAGGAGGTAGGAGGAGAGGAGGAGGAGGGACGAGGAGGAGGAGGAAAGGGGGGAGGAGGAGGAGGAGGGGAGGAGGAAGAGGAAAAGGAGGATTGTGCCCGGAACGTCGGCCTTGGCTTCCGACGCCGCGTGCACCGCACAGCCTAGAAGCGGTCGCGGAAACGCGCGGTGCCGTCCGGCTCCGGGCCGCGGGCGGCCCTCAACCTTGAGCGCCGGTGCTGGGGTCGCAACCGCGACGGCCCGCTCCCCTCCTCCTCCTCCTCCTCCTCCTCCTTCTCCCCCTCCTCCTCCTTATTAATCGTCACCCGGGTCCGGTTTTTATAGCGTTTTTTTGTAACTGGGGGGGTCTTGCTCATTAGGGCGCTTTCCTTGGATTGGAGCTTAGGGGGTCCGGTTTATTAAGGCGCCCCGTTGAAGAGGTGGGTCCGGAATATTAGGTCGCATTTGGAAGGGGGTCCGGTTTTTCTGGGCGGGGTCGATTAATACGGGATTTGGAGTACCGCGCCCGAAAGCATCTCGGCAAACGAGATTCTAACGCCAGGGTTCCAAGAGGGCCCCAAGAGAGCTCCGAGAAGCATCCAATAGGGCCCCAATAGGGCCAAGCGATGTCCCCAAGACCCCTCCAAAAGCCCCCTAGAGAGCGTGACCGCATGCTGCCACACACCCATGATCATGGCCACTCGCCGGATAATTGTTCTTGGATGGGCTGGTGGGGGTACAGGCAACCCGCATAGTATGGATGAGCGACCTTCCCCAGGGTACCCTTGCATCCTTGCCTCCAAAGTCCATATTTGCCCACTTTCGTCGGCCGCGCCCCGCTCGGAAAGCTTCGGAATGGCCTTCCAAGGCTCTTGCATCCTTATCCTGCGTCCTCCTTGTACGGGTTGACTGTACGTTTTTGATTCGCGGCCCGCAAGGAAGAAAAGTCCAGAGGGCGGTAAGAACGAGGCTGGGACACAGCGCACGGGAAGGCAGATAATTAACGGCGCAGCACAAGTGCCGGCCAAAAAGCAGCTGAGCATGTGCCAGCAGCAGAGAATTAACAACGCTGAACATGTGCCAGCGAGGGATACAAATAGGAAAACCAGCCGCTGAGCGTGTGCCAGCGAGGGTGGGGAAGGCTAAAAGGTCGGACCCGCAGGTGGGGCCAGGCTGCCAGACGAAGGTGCCAAAACCACTCATTCACTTTGAACGCCGCCGAGGGGGGTTCGGTCCAAAGCCTGGTGGTGGCCCCGACCACAAAGGAGAGCGCCCACGATGGCCCTGGTACCACGGCGGTGTGCGGCTTGCGCATCTGGAAGGCACTCCTGTGACTGTAGCCGACGGGTTGACTGTACGCGAAGTGTCAAGATTTCTCCGTCTTGTCGCGACCTCTGGAGGCCTGCCTCCCGCGCCGACCTCTTAGAGGCCCCTGGAAGCCTCTGGGCCACATCTGCTCCCCTCACGCGCGGCGCTGGGGCGCACAGGGCTCCAGGCAAAACCCAGGGGGCAGGCCGTCCCTCGACGGCGGGCTTTTTGAGGGGCGACGATCGGAGGGGACTGGCCCAGGGGGGGGGGGGGCGTTGACTTGGAATCGGTGGTCTATCGCCGACTGATCGGCGATAGGCCCTCGAACGCGAATCCGCAACTTCCTGGGCGGAGATGGCTAGCGAGCCCCCTGATGGCGGTCAATGGGCGATTGGGGATCGACGCGTCTCCCCTGAGCTCATCCCCTCAGCATTTCCCCTGACCACATCTTGCGCTTTGACTTGTTCGATGCGCGGGCGCCCAGCCAGGCTTTTCATCCCAAGACATGCTCGTTGACGGCCCCGGGGCCCGAGACTGGCCACGACTGGCATCGAAGGCCCACAGATAGCGACACACCAGCCGCCTGGATGTGTGTTCGAAGCGATGGATGCCTAGCTTCACTCGTCGAACATCGTGGCATGAAGAGGGGGAGGGAAAGGGAGGGGGAACGCACGTCGCCACGGGGGGGGGGGGGGGGCGTGGTGCGTTCGAGACGAAGGGCCGCGCACGCCGCACGGCTGGTCTGCAGGATGGCGGCGGCACTAGCGACCTGCTGCAGGCCCAGATGGGACCGAACCTTTTGGCACATGCGACTCGCATCCACCATCTTACGGTGGCATCTGAGGCGGCCGTCCCCCAATCCCTCGTAGTCAGATTCACCACCCGGCCCAAGATGAACCCAAGGACACGCAGGGGGAAGGAACGATGGTTGGAGACCGGCCGCCCGCCATAAAGCTGGACGCAGCATGTCATGCGCAATGGAACCGGGACAACCGCAGCCGAGCCTGCACGGGGCCTGAAGCAACACTCTGCCAGACTCGACGACTGGCAATCCATCCAGGCCCCAGCCAAAGTTTTCAAGCAGGCAATGCTCGGGAAGGGGCATGCCTACACAACAAAGACCTACGCCGTCGCCACCGCTCGTCGATATCAGGAGGAGGCGGAAGAGGAGCCTCAGGGAACCAGGAGCGAAACCGAAGAACGATGAGCGAGGGCATGCCGTCGGGAATCGTGAGAGAGCGAGGAGAGAGCCTTTGGACATCGTGGCATGAAAGAGAGGGGTCCTGAAGGAAGCGGGCCACTTGCCATCGCTCGGACGTCCATTCCCCGTGCATGTTTCGATGTCGTGCGCTTTCTCTCACATTGATGATTTAAGATGCCCCTCGATGGTCCTCGCCAAGAAAAATTGCGCACGTCCGAGCGATGCCAAGGTCATGGACAATGGGGCGTCCCCCAGTTTCGAAGCAGCAGCACATGTCAGGGCCTCTTCCCTTCGGGACTTGGCGGCGCGCACAATCGGGTGGCGCGGGGGGGGGGGGGGAAACATCGACCTGGAATCGGCGATACATCATCGATGGATAGGCGATAGGCCTGCAATAGCCAGTCCGCACCTTCCTGGGAGTGATGGGCTATTGGCCCCTTATCGGCGATCCATGTGCGAGCGGGGGCCGATGCATCCCCCGGGGCGGCTTTCTGGAAAGGCAGGGCCTTCTTAGAGAGCAGGGGGCCTTCTTAGAGGTCCCCCCTGGACTCGAAGAGGGCTTCTGCGAAGCCTCAGGGGCACTTCTGGAGAAGGCCCCTGCTTTCTGAGAAGCCCCCTGCCTTCTCAGAAGGCCACACCCCTCGCGCTGCCCCTTCGTGCGCGACGCCAGAGAGGACCCCTGCGCGCCACAACCCCCTCGTGCTCGCGACCCCCTTCTGCCCAGACATCCGCAAATGTGGTTTCTCTTCGATCCGCTGCGCCAGAGCCCCCGACCGTTTCTCGGGGGGTCGTGTCCTCGTCCCAGGAACGAGGGCCGCTGGGCCCGGGAGCGGCTCCCGGAGGCTGAGCTCGGGGCAAAAAACGCCGAGATTGACAAATCCCGTCGTCGGAGATCTGGGCCCCCTCCTCCTCCTCCTCCTCCTCCTCCTCCTCCTCCTCCTCCTCCTCCTCCTCCTCCTCCCGTGTCGAACGCCGCCGGGCCTCAGCTCCAGGGCCTCCCCGCCAGCCGCGCCGCCCGCCATGCAGATGGGGAGCGCCCTCGCGAAACCCGCGGGGGGGCCCGCCGCGCGCACCCGCGGCGCAGGCGCTTGCCTGTCCTCGAGCGGCAGGGGTGGGCCGCGTGGACCGCTTCGGAGGGGCGGCCGTGTCAGGTGAACCTCCTCCTCATCCTCATCCTCCTCCTCCTCCTCCTCCTGCTCCTCCTGCTCCTGCTCCTGCTCCTCGTCCTCCGCCTCCTCCTCCTCCTCCTGCTCCTGCTCCTGCTCCTCCTCCTCCTCCTCCTCATGCTCCTCCTCCTCCTGCTCTTGCTCCTGCTCCTCGTCCTCCTCCTCCTCCTGCTCCTCCTCCTCCTCCTCCTCCTCCTCCTCCTCCTCCTCCCTGCGGAGGGGCGGCCGTGTCAGGTGGGCGGTCTTGCCCCAAATCCCATATTAATCGTCCCCCCGGTCCGGTCTCCTCCTCCTCCTCTCCTCCTCCCGTTCCTCCCCGCCTCCTCCTCGTTCTCTTCCCCCCCTCCTCCCCTCCGCCTCCTGCTCCTCCTCTTCCTCCTCCTCCTCCTCCTCCTCCTCCTCCTCCTCCTCAACTCATCCTCATCCTCCTCCTCCTCCACCTCCTCCTCCTCCTCCCTTTCCTCCCCCCTCTTCCTCGTTCTCCTCCCCCCCTCCTCCTCCGCCTCCGCCTCCTGCCTTTCCTCCTCCTCCTCCTCCTCCTTCCTCCTCCTCCTCCTCCTCCTCCTCCTCCCCTCCTCCTCCTCCTCCTCCTCCCCCTCCTCATCCTTCTGGCTATGCATGTGCTTTTGACGATCGGAGCGCTGCTGGTATGTCATAGCTGCGTCCTCGCTGCAGCATGGACCTCATGGCAGGATCGGTGATCTGCCCGCGTCGTTCAGAGTGGCGTTCTTGCCTCAGCGGAGGTCGCACTTCTGCATCCGGCTCGCTCCTCGCCGTTGTCGCCCCCTCGTGTCCCCTTGTCCGCCTTCTGTTGCCCGCCCTGATCCTCCTCTTCCTCCTGCTTATCCTCCTGCTCATCTGCCACCTCCTTTCCTCCTCCTCCTCCTCCTCCTCCTCTTCCTCCTCCTCCTCCGCCAATGTACGCCAATGGAACGACGATCTTGCAGCAGCGCTGGACGTATTCTTGCATCAGCGAAGACGGTGATCTCTCTGCAGCGGCTGCCACGCTCCAGAGATACCATTTGACTTCCGTCCACTAGATCGATGCACTCGCCGCAGCGATGGCCGTTCTACTGCCTCAACCATCGTGTCGATCCCGTTACAACGTTTGACACACGCCGATTTTCCGTACGTCACCATCGTCCAGCTCCATCCCGCGGTCCTTTCCCCAATCACCCCCCTAATGTTCTGCATGTGCTATGTGCTGCCTTCTCATTCCTCCCCGTGTTGTCCTGTCTTTCGCGTCGCCGTCCTCGGCCCAACCTCCTGCCCCCGGCGGCGGTGCTCCTGTTCCCTGCGTTGCCCCTCCGCCGCCGTTATGCCCACCCACCCCGTCTCCGCCCCCCCGCGTCCTTCATGCCCCTTCCCACCTCTTGATGACTGGGGCCCTCTTGAACAACGTCGTCCTTGCGGGATCCGTCCTTTCTTCGGCATTCGACTCTGCGAATCGGGGGGCGGCACTACAGGGTAAGGAATGGGAGGGACAGATCGTATGATGTCAGATATGGCGCGGGCGCACAAGTCTCGCCCTCGCCCTCACCTCTCCCTTCCCCTCTCCCTCCCCCTCTCCCGTCATCTCTCCCTCCCCCTCCCCCTTTCCCACTCCCTCCCTGTTCCTCCCCATAGTCCTCGATCCTCCTCTTCCCCTTCCCTAACCCTTCGTTGATGGCGTTGATGGCTCGCCCCCGCGCTTCCGTTCACCCCAAAGAGGTAGCGGCAAACTCGATGGCGGCGGCTTGAGAAGAGGGGGCTCGGCCTGGCCCCAGCTTCCAGCAGCACGGCCACCTCAGGGGATGTAGCAGTCCTCCTCCTCCTCCTCCTCCTCCTCCTCCTCCTCCTCCTGCCCCCTTTCCTCCCCCCCCTTCCAATTCTCATCCTGCTCACCATGCCCTTGCTCTTTCCTCCCTCCCCACCATCCTCTGCCTTCTCCTTCCTCCCTTTTTCGTCCGCCCAACTCTCTCATCCCTCCTCACTCCCTCCTCCCGTCTCACGCCCCCTCCCTCCGCAGTGAAACACTATGTTCGCTGATCTCCCCTCCCTGGATTATGTGCGAGCGGGCCCCATTTCTCCAGCATGTGGCTTGTATTGCGCATGGTTTCAGTAGCTGTTACATGATATATGTACACAAGTATATATATATATATATATACAAACATACATACACACGCCTACACACATATTCCTATTGCTATATTTCTCTTACCCGGAAGTCACCCTTCCCCCCCTAAACTGGGCCCCCACCAGGGACGCCCCGGACGCCCTTTCGGACGTCTCGGCGGCCCCCTGGACGCCCTTGGAAATGGTCTGCTGGCCCTTCCGGGCCTCCCAAAGCGCCGTGCCGGGCTTTGTGAGCAGACTCAAGGCGATCAGAGTGGTCATCGGAAATGCGCAAGAGAGACCCAAGATAGCACAAGAGCGCCCCAAGAGGAACCTCGATGGTCTGAAGACGGCCCACGAGGCCCCCATGACGCCCCAAGAGGACGTTAAGAACCCCCCGAACAAGCACAACTCGTCCCATTCCCTTTAAACATGTATGTTTAGCACATCCGTTTTTGAGGTCGTCGCAGCGCCCAAAACGACCCGATGGGCTCCCCATGTCGCTCCAAGACGGCCCAAGAGGCTCCCCAGAAGGTTTGAAGACGGCCCAAGAGGCCCCCCTTTCTGCCCCACAGAGCTCCGAGACGACCCTCAAGAGGCCCAAGATGCCCCCGGAAGGCCCCCAAGAGAGATCCACGAAAGCCATGGGATACCCCCGAGAAGGCCGAGGCCCCCAAGAGGGCCCGAGATGGCAAGCGGCTGCGGAAAACCTCTGGAGGGCCCCAGCTCCCCAAGACGGCCCAAAAAGGCCACGGGACGGCCCAGGGGGGCCTCAGGTCGGCCCAAACATCCCCCAAACCGCCCAGACGGCGTTCTCGTACGAAGTACATTGAGCTGACCCGACGATCTTGGTTCCACGCTTGACGCCCGAGGCTTAAGCTCCTCGATCGAGAGAGACAAGCAATGGATCGAGGTCCGAAGTTCGACGATCGAAGATGTCCTGCATGCCTGGGGCCCTCCAGGCATTCAGGTAGCGACCAATAATCGATTTGTTCGGAGCTACTGCGACTTCTTCGGAGTGTCATGGGAACGTTCCTGACTTCCTCAAAGGGCCTTCGCGCGTGAAAACATCAGCATTCCTCCCCCACTCTTGCGCGCAAGCGTGCAAGCGCATCGGGCGAACGCGGCGCCAGCAGGCACCAGGGATATCAGAAAAATGAGCCCGTCGCCCGTCCAAGCCCCGAGGACCCCCCCACTGAAATAAGGAGGTCCGGAACAAGGCGCACCCACGCGCCGCTCCCGCGGTCGCCCGGGTCTCGTGGCTCCTTCCCGGCCGTACTGGCTACCCCCAGCCTCTTCGCGTCTTTCTTCCTCGTGGCTCCTGGCCTGCCCTGCGCTGCGAACGCACACCGCCTTCGCTACCGCTGCGTCGCCTGCCCGTCGAGCCACCCCGGCTCCCGGTCCGCCACTGCAACTCACCAGCGCAACCTCCCCAGCAGCCGCACCGTGCCGTCGAACGGGACCGTCGTAATCCTCGCAGCTCTGGCCTTCCGTCTCCCGTCTTGCTGGGCCTCGCCCCGCTCTGCAGCCGCTGGACCCCACCCTGGGTGCTCTCGCGATGCCGCCCGGCGCCCATCGCCAGGGGCTGCTGCGCCGGCTCAGCCGCCCCGCACGCCCCGCCGCGGCTTCGCCGCGTGAGTGCGCCTCCCCCCCTTTCGTTGTCCCTCCTCCGCGGCCGCTCCTCCTCCTCCTCCTCCTCCTCCTCCTCCTCTCCTCCTCCTCCTCCTCCTCCTCCTCCTCCTCCTCCTCCTCCTCCTCCTCCTCCTCCTCCCACAGCCCCTCGGGCGCACCAAGTCGGGCAGCCCGGACCGCGCCGCGGCGTGCAGCGGCGTGCCCCGCCCGCCCGCGTCCGGCGCGTCGGGGTCCGCTGCCGCGCGCAGGAGGTCCTGGCCGTCGGGGTGGGGGGGGCCCTCGGCCCTCTGGCTTCTTAGAAGCAGGCTGCTTCTTAGAAGGCGCCGGCCTTACATCTTAGATAAGGCCCGCGCCTTCTAAGAAGCAGGGGTGCTTCTAAGAAGCCCTCCCCCCTCCCCCCACCCCCATCTGCGCGTGGCTGACCTCCACTGACACTTGCACAGGGAAGCGGATCCTGGTGTACACGGGACCCTGGTGTATACATGTGTCGTCGCTTCCCTGGGAGGACGGGAAAACCAAAAGTGTGCACCACACCACCCCCGCGTCGTCCCCGACCCCCAAACAGTTCCTGCGATTGAGAAGCAGCCCGCTAAGGGTAGTGTATATGCTCCAGTTTCCGGCCAGGCTCCAGTTTTCGGGGGCGCGCAAACATGGATTAGCGATCCATGGACTTGGCGCGCGGTCGCCAAATCCATGTATCGGGGGGGGGGCCTCCCCAAAATGCGGCTGGTGCCGCCTCGTTCGGCGGCGGAAATCCGTGATTACCCATGTAAACGGGACCCGTCCGTCGCTAATCGACGCCGCCCCCGTGATGCGATGCCCATGCGATCGCCCAGGAGAAAATGATGCAATGCCCAACGGCACGTGTTGTCCAAAACTGGCAGCGGCAAGAGATTCGTGGCCAGTTCGTGCCGTGACAACTTCGGCACTGGGTGCTGACACCGCGGGGATCGCTCTCGCCAGATCGTTCCACTGGCGGACTCGGGGCCGCCGCCAGCATTCCACCCTGGACGCCCGCGCTGGGACCGCAGCCGCGTCAAAAACCACACGAGCCCGCCGCATCTCTTGCAGGTCCTCGGCGCCCCCCCCCCCCCTTGAGAGCGCGCGCGACCGCGCCGTGCCCGCGGCGACGGCGCCGCGCCGCGCGCACTCGCGGGGGGCGAGCGGCCTCAGCCGCTTCCGCGGCAGCATCGGGCGTTCACCAATGGG